CAAAAAAGAAGCCTTTGTCGTTTTAGTTTAACTCATGTCAAGGATATTCATGTATGTAATAGTTCGTGTAGTTTCAGCTAGTAGTTAAATGTTAGTAAGCATTTTTCCTTAATTGTTTTTCCTCTCCTAGAACGGTATCGCATTCAGAGTGAACAATTTGAAGATCTTTGGCTCATAACAAATGAGCTTATTCTCTGCCTTCAAGAATACTTTGAAAAACAGGGAATCAAAGATTTTGCATGTTCTTTTTCTGGCTCTATGCCCCTTCAGGAATATTTTGAGTTGATTGATCATCATTTTGAGGTATGTAGAATCATAACTCACATCATCCATAATCTTTAAGTATATGAAAGAGAAAGAGATGCCGTAGAAGTGAGAATTCTAGTATACGTGCTATCAGGCCACATGCTTTAAGTTGTTATTCTTATGTGGATGGCAGGTTTTGTGAATCCATTCCTGCCCTCTTGCCTAGTTTGTGATCAGCTGCAGGCATCTACAGAGTTGCTGCCTGGAACTAAGCATATGGTCTGGCCTTGGAACAGAGCAGATTTAATTCTCCCACATGGGGACTTAACCCTTGGCCCTAATAACCCAGTGTTAAAACTATTTGAGTTTATCGGAGGCCATTTGGCTAACTAATTCTAACAGGCCATAAATGAGGTGTGATTATAAGGTAAAGTGATTTTTTGTTTTCTTTTTTAACAAGCACACAAGAACTTCTGAAGCTGAATGAGGCTTAACCACTTAAAATATTCTCCAGTACCTGGCATAATGGGCACTTAGTAAATGCTGAATGACTAGTGTCTAAATAAATAAGATCTGACAGTGACTTTGTTCCTGTGAATATTTTTGCATTTCTTATTCAGAAATGCCTACAGAGCATGTGTTAGAGTCTGTTGAACATCGCAGTGGTGTCATAGCTTCATCCTTTAAGATTGATTTCAGACAGTCATGTTTTGTGAACAGATCAGACAATGACAATCTGTTTTTTTTTTTAAGTCCCATGTGTTAAAATAAAGTCACCAGGCTCCATTTACTTATTTGTCTGTAAAGAGACTCTTAGGAAATACAAAAGGGAATTTCAAAAGAATTTTGAGCATCGTTCAAGTAAGCATTGCTTCTTAGAGTGACTACTTTTTAAGGAATCAGTAGACATTTCAGTTTACAAGCTGTGGTGTGTGTGTGTGAGAGAGAGAGAGAGAGAGAGAAATTGTCATGTAGCTTGTCAGTCACCCCTTGAACATTCTAAGAGCATTAACTTTCACCTATAAAGACCTTCTTTTAATGCAGTGTGAACATGAAGAGGACATTTCAGGTACATATAATCCAATTATGAATAATATGGCATTATCAAATTTGAATTTATTTGGGTTTTCCCTCATCTATGCTGATATTTTCTAGGCTAGTATGCCATTGACCAAATTATGGTGTCAAAATAAACAGTTTGGAGGAGTATGATCAGGTATTATATTTTAAGAGTTGAGAACCCTTGCAATCCTCTAGGATGTATTGTAAGAAATTCCCACTTCACTGTGTAAATCTAGTGGTTTATGAAAGAGATACCATAGAAAGACTATACTAATTACATATTTATAATAT